TTTCCTTGCTACAGTTGTCAGTATTTAGTGAAGGCTGAAATGCAGATCCGGTTTTCCAGACCTAGAAATAGTTGGAAATCTTTCAGCTAAGTGCTTATTTCAAATAAAGGCGGAACTTCTTAGGTGATAAAATGAATTGCAATCAGAAGAAGAAAAAAGCAACATTTTAATAGATATTTTGGTGTTGAAATCCCCCTTGCCCACATTTCAGTGAAAACCAACTATAATTTTTAATAAAAAACATATTTGCTTTTATGTTGAAGCAAATCTGAAACAACAACAGCAACAAAAATGCATCAAATCCAAGCAAATATGTCCAGGCACTGCACATTGTACTGGTCTAAAATGAAACCCTTTTTGTCCCAACTTCTGTCTTCAAGACATCCATTTCTGATAACTCTTAAAAATAAAATCTCAGATGCTTATGTAGTGGATGAAGTACTGAGATTTTACTGAGAAACCTATTTTACAAAAATGTAATTATTCACATAAATAGCAATTTATCCCTTGAAAATCTGTACTTAACTTACAGATGTATACAGCTTCAAGCCTGCATGTAGCTGGCAATTGTCTGCTGCAGGCTGCCAGATAACATCTATGCTTTTCCAATGTAGCTTGCTTTCTCTATTTTACAACACAGAGGAATCGACTAGCAATGTCTTGTTAAATTTGCAAAGATGGAAAGATTGAAGGAGAAAGTCTAGACAGAAATGGCATGATGTGCCAGGACAGAGCCTTGTAAAGGGGAAAAGGAATTTTATATGACAATGATGTATGTAGAAGGAGGAAGAAAAGTGCTTCAAGAACCTTCTGGGAAATGTAGCAGAATTAAATATGTTAACAGCACTTTACGTCTTGTTTAAACAGTTACAGATATTGGTAGCTTTCTGAATTCCAGTAAATATAGAAGCATGAAGTAATTATCCATCGGGATCTCCTGGCTGTGCAAAGAATTGCATTTTAGCTATATGGCTGAGTTATCCTTTCTTGTTCTAATGAGCTGTAACTCTGCTTTTATCTTCTTTGTGCTGGCTCCTTTCTGTTTAAAATTGAACAAGATGATACAAAAACGATGTGGGTGCTCCTTACAGAAAAAAGCAAGGGCACCTGATATTAATGTTTCAAGGCTCCGTCACTGAAATTGAAGAACTGCATCATGGAGCTGGAAATCATAGTGGTCAGGTTCTCAGTGGGCTGCTGACAGGATGGAAAATGTAACACAGGCTGTATTTCATAAGTACTTACGCTTTCAATTCTGCATCAGAGCTTGTTCCCGTTGTTTGTAGTTCATTGTTACTGGTTCGGCAACATTTTTCTCAATTTTCTCTACTCATTAAACTGGTGAATCAATCACTTGTGTGAGGGGAGGCAGTTTGGCACTTGCTTTGCATACACACTGCCACCCATGGCCATTTTTGTTTCAATCCTTGAAGGTATGGTAAAGGCAGGAAGCTTTCCCTGTAATTTAATTTTTAAAACACAAAAGCTGTTCGTAGTGCTCTGAGCAACTTTAATATTTCTGAAGAGCTTTCATCTGTTAATCTAATATAAAACTTGCCTTGTTTTTACACTGCTGCTTGACCTAATAGCTGCACTATAGTCTGAGATAAAACATTTTTAATGAAAAGTTTGTGCTAGGCTTTTTAAATTGCAGTTCTCCAAACTGGTGAAAGCTGTGCAGGCATTCTTGGTAGTTACCTAGAATACTTTTACCATAGCAGAAGGTTGCCTTACCATTGAACCTTGAGGATTCTTATGTGTATTCCTGGATTGTATGCTTACGTCTGGAGCAAAAGTATCAAAACAATACTTCTTAGTCCTGAGTCTTTACTGAGTCAAAACAATACTCAGAGCCCTGAGGTTTTGTCTCATGTGATGCTGAAATTGCTCTAGGATACAACCACTGATTTAAGCTGTTAACTTTTTTTTTTTTTTTTTTAACCAACAGCAGTGAGGTGGTTTGAATAAGGTTGATAGTGCTGACCATATTGCCCAAACTTCTGTGTCTTATGAGCTGCACAAGAACATTGTCAGGGTCTGAAGTCAAGAAGAGGGGTGATAGCGGGAAAGCAAGGCTCTTGTTGGAACTTGCTTTTTAACAGTAGACAGTGCAGAAAAGGAGAGGCCCCTTCACATTAATTAAGCTAAATAAACAGCCCCTGTTCACAACAGTAAATTTGCATAGTTAAGCAGAAATAATCATATATGTTGTGCTATCTCTTCTAGAGTAGTAATCTTTTCCTTAGACAGTATAGAGAACTTCAATGGTGTTAAATTTTATTTTTTGATCTACTGGTTTTGTCAACAACAGCTTACTGTTGCTTACTGCCTCTTAGATATAGGGATGTATTTGTCCGGGCTTTACTGAAGTTATTCGTTTGCATGGGTGACCTGAGGGGAGACCTGGCTGAGCATTTTGGAAAGGGAAGGCAAAACCAGTATGTAGAGAAGAAATATGTACACAGTTAGCAGGGTTTCACTTGTATAACTAAGTAAACCTTATGCTCAATCATTTATCGTAAGGTCAGGATTAATACTTTTGTGCCAACATCTAGGATTTAAAAAAAGGTAGTGAGAAATTCTGTGCAACATTTGCAGTGGCACTGTGAAAAGAACAAATGAGTACAAATTGCATAATTATTTTCATTTCTTATTGGTACTTTCCTTTCCTGTGTCGTCATTCACTTCTCTAATATTTACCTCTGCCATTGCCTCCACTGTTTTCTCAGACAAACATGCATCTTCAGGTAAGTGTAATTTTCAGCTGCTGCAGAAAGCAAGCAGGAATATCTCTTGGTCTCCTGGTAGACTGGGTTATGCCAGTATTGTAGCTTATGAAACACAGAACAGTGCTTGGAGCCCGTGAGCTCAGTGACTGCAATTTCCTTACCTAGCCAGCCATTGAAAAGATTGGGATGGAATCTACATGAAAGTAGAATCAAGAAAAAAATTAAGAGATTCAAAACGTATTCTGGATGTACACTGATGAATGATGCAAGATGGAAGAGAAAAAAAAACACACCTCAAAAAGGAAAGCTTAATTCTGAGTGCAATAAACTGGTGTTTCATACTGCCTGTACTTACAACTTTCACTTGATTTCCATATCCAATTCAGTCTTCTAGTCCTACTTAGGGAAAAACTCCCAGGGACGGAAGTGAGATTCTCATGCTTTTGAAAATCAGGAACATAGATAAAAGTTTGTCAAATTTTCAGTAGCTAGTTATGAGTAATTTGTATTCTGTGGTAATATTCTGAATTATTTTGAAATCGGAGTGTCTCATTTCAAACATGAAAATGTTTCTTTAGCAGAGCATTGTTTTTAAACCCTTTTCTATTCTTCAGTTGCCTGCTCTCTTACTGACTGTCCTATGCTGGCTCTCTTCACATCTTGCAGTGAATTATATACCTGTTCCTTTTCACTGAAGATCATACACAGGAAACCCTATTCTGCTAATTTTAAGAAGTCTACTGGGTGCTGATGTGCCTTTGCAACTGTATTACCAGTAGTACTGAAGTAAGGCATAAACAGAGAACAGCCTTTAGAATTGGTACATGCTGTGTGAAGACCTGTATGGGATGCATCTTTTGTCATCTATACTGCCATTAAAACAAAATCTTTCACTGATAGAAAGATATGGCTGGAGATGTTGTTTCCAGAGGTAGGAACTCAGAAACTGAGGTCTTTCTATTGAAAATAGATAGATAGAAATACTCTGAAAATTTTAGGTGGTGGAGACCCATCAGTTCTGTGTAACTGCACATTTGCTGAAAGTAGAGAATTTAGCCTTCACCACTCCATTCTTTTTTTTCTTTTCTTTGTACTGGCATTAGATTATGTGCTACATACTCTGCTCTGCAGAGCAACAGGTAATCGGAAAAATGTTGAGGAAGTGGGGTGTTTCACCGGCCTCGAGAACTGTCAGTGTGGCAGGAGAGACTTCTCAGCAAAGAAAGACTTGAGGAAGAAATATGTGAAAATGTCTAGTATATCAAATTATCAATGTTTCTGATGTCATGAACAGTTTCAGAACAAACAGCATGCAGACTTTGATGGATATGTGCGACTGCTAAACCTGGTTGGAAAGACTTAATTTTGAGAGAGTCAGTTGTTTATTTTCATTAGGGTGGATGTTGCAGGACTGAAAACTTCATTGAAACTTTCAACTCATGAATTTCCTCAAGACATTGGTTTCATTCTTTGAATCAATATGAATATATTCAATAAAATAATTCCTGTGGGAATATAGGGGATGACACTGAAGTCAAAGAACACATGCTGCCCATACAGGTGAACGGTAACATTCACCAAAATACTTCATTCCATTAAACACGTGGTGCAAGAGGTTAAGGGGCACAGATTATGACTTTAATTATATGGATCAGTAAGCTTTTTTTTTTTTTTTTTTTTTTTTTTGCTGCACAATGAGCATGCTAAAACTGATCAGTCCAAAACTGTAGGCTTTGGATTTACCATTGCTTAAAACTCCCAGCACCGCTGGGAGTTATTAGCCTGGAAAATGTCACTTTTCAAATACATTGTCAAATTGCATGCAATCAATCCCAATGACCTAATCTCTTAAACAATTGAGTTCTCTTCTTGCAAAACTTTATCTAATTATCCTTGGCTCATGAATGCAAGATGCAGACTTGCTTTCAAAGTTATAAATATCACAGTTCTTGTTGTCAGGAAACTTGTGATGTTATCCTGTAACTAGTAATGTGCTTGTCATACCAGACAGTGTAATTAGTGCTTTGTTTACCCTTTTCTCATTCAGATTCTTAGCTGATAGCATTGCCTTGCCCACAAGTGATACAGGTTTTATGGCATTTCTCTGCTTTTGCCATCTTTCAGAACTCTTTCTACAGCTCTGTATTCTTATGCCTGTTTTCACTGATCTGACTGCTATGGAAATCCTTTTTTTATGTTGCAACATAGTCCAAACCACAAATTGTGTAAAACTGGAATTTGAGTTTAATCATTCCTTTTGTTCTTCTATAGGTTTAATAGTGATTCCTCTGTCTGCTTAAAGTGCCTGGAATTTCAGAAGCAAAGGTCCAAATGAGAACACAGCTCTTCAGCAGGTAAAATATATCTGCTCTTGTCTTATCGAACCATTTATGGGATGCTCTCTTTTATACTACCTGGATTACACCTTCCACACATGTGCTGGAGTACATTTGCCTACAGGTGAGGGTGAAGAGCCATGAATTTGTTTTTTTTTATTGGTATCTATCTAAATTTTGCCCTGAATTTCTGCCCTACATCCATTCTTCTCTGAATCATTATTTGCATCAGTTTGGCATAGATGAGCCTTTATGGGACTAATTACAATCCCTTTTTCCTGTTGGAATATTTTCCTAGGCATGATGGAAATAGAGTTATATGGGAAGAGCTTCTGCTGCAGTGTTGGTGCTGTTACTGCTTGTAGATAAATAGGATACTTCAGTTGCCTGCTAATAATCTGGCAGCTGCCTGCTCAAATCTTCTGAAAGGTTATTAACATTGAGAAATTCTGGGCTGTGGTAGCAGTCAGGTCTGCTTTTAAGGTTCTTTGAAGATACTGATCAATTGTTGTTCATGAATGGAAAGTAATGTAATCTTCAGAAATTATTTAGTTTAGGTATTAGTATAAGAGATGCACGTGTTAGGAACTAGGAAACGTTTCAGTAGAAGAGGAACAGGAAAGAAGGTTTGAAACCTTGATTAGAAAGGAATAGGCTGCTGGCCCTAAAAACTTGAAAAATGCTAAAAACAGGCAGATGACATGTAGGGGAGCACCAAGGTCGGACAGCAGTGATCTTTGAAATAGACACAGCCAATGGTCAGAGCACTGCTGAAAAGGCTGGGAAGAAAACAGTGTAACAGCAATGAGTGGGAAAACAAGTCAGACTCTTGATGTCATTTGACAGTGTGTCCAATCTACTTGGCAACAGACCAAAGGCAAAACTTACAGTGCTTCTCCGCCGGTGGTTGCAGCCTGAGAAATGAGATGGGAGAACCGGAATGATGGCTTCATACAAGTCTGGCAGGCGGGCAGCTGAGATACATTGCAGAAAGAAGGCAGTCGGTGGATGTGATGTTCTCAGGCTATCAACTTTACATAAATTTGCAGGGTGAGATGCGCAGGAGGTGAAGTGCCATTGTTTATGGAGTCTGAAGTGAAAAGAACCACAATAAAGTCATTGCTGGAAAAAGAGAAAACAGCATGAAAACCCTGTAGGTGGAAGTATCACACTGATAATAAAAATGAAGTGTTAGGATTGTATTATTAACCTAACCCCAGTCAGGATACAGACAGTGGATCAGCAATGTTAAGTAAACTTAGAGACTTGCAAATTGAGGACAAGTAGTAATAGTGAGTGTTTCAGCTACCTACAGAATGATTGCCTTTTCTATGGCAGACAGTAAATTTCAGGAGGTAGTAAGTAACAGAAGTAACAGCTTCCCAGAGCAACTAATTTTCAGTTCCAGAAGAAAAGATGTTGTTGTGGCTTTGGTCCTGATTAGTGCACAGAGCCAGCTCAAGAAATGTTTGAGAGAGCTGATCTGTAATATCCATTAAAATACAATTAGGTTTAAGGTTGCAGTAGGAGAGTCTAAACAAAATAAATCCAAAACACAAGCATTCAACTTAAAGAAATGAATAAGAATACTAATGAGGCAAAAGGTCAAAGGGAAGAAAAAGCATTAAAGGAGGAGCTAAAAGCAAGAAGCCTAGAGGCAGCCTAGATACTTGTCAAAAAAACAGTATTAGAAGTCAAGACAAACTCCTTGCTGAAATTTGAGTGGGGGCAGGAAGGAAGAGTGAAAAAAAGTGATCTAATAAAAACCTTATGGCTCAATATATAATTGAGGTGATTGTCATGTAGAAAGGACTGGCATTTATAAATCTGTCCTTTGGAAGAGAAAAAAAAGTCCATAACTTACATCAGGAAAAAATGTAACCAGAAAATTAAGAAAGCTAAGAAAGAATTTGAGGAGTACCTTGAAAAGGATGCTCACATTCATGGTCTAGTTATTTACATATAACAAAAATATTGCCGAAATTGCCAAAGTAAGTCCTATCCACAAAAATGGTTCTAGAAAGGATGGTGGGAATGATAGTCTGCGAGTCTGACTGACACCTCTCAATAGGTGGTAAACTTGAAAATAAAGATTAAGATTGGCACATAGAAAAGCTGTTTGGGAAAAGATCTCTATTAGAAATGGAGAAACATATGAGAAATAAGAAAAACTAGAGCTTCTCTGTTTCCCTTTGAGTCATCTGGAGTGGTTACTGTATCAGGTACTTGCGCTTGCCATACAGTCTCGCCCATGGTGACTTTTGTCTATCTTGTTTTCATTAGTCTAAAATAAGAGAAAATTCATATTTTCAGGAGTCAGTAGGGTAAAAAATGATGACATTTCTGGCTAGAATCAGGTCAGACAATGGAGCGAATGGCAAGTGGTGAGGAGAGATGAGGCATTGTGTAGACCAGATGGCAAAGGCATTTTTGAAGTCTTCCATACGTAGGAGTTTGCAAAGTAGCTGGAAAGAAAGATGGATAGAGACAGAGTCCATACAAGTATGAGACATCTGTGGCTTATGCAGGAACAAGATGTGTATGAAAAAAATGAAGGAAAGCAGTTCCTTAGTTGGGTATTTTCTCGTGTGAGGATTCTGTGACTGTTCTTCCTGCACTCATCAGATCGTCTGGCCTCCTAAGCTGTTACTTGCCGACTCCATGCCTTTTTCTTTCCCATGCATAAGGGAGGCATGGATGATGGGCAAAAGGGTTAGTGAACATAAAGCAGAGATTGTAGCTTCATATGTATGTGGATGATACAGGCCCTTGTCTGTTTCGAACTTACTTACAAGCTCACACAGTAGTGAGGAGATAATGTATTTACCTTCCTAACTGCAGAGGCTGCTTTGGTAACTAAATAAACAATGAAGTCAAAAGGTCTAAATAGAAAACTCAGGATCTTAGTAAAGTCAATATGTTTAAAGGAGGCATATCTGTAAAGCGTTTGAATAAAACCGGGAGAAAAAGAGAACCTACCGCCTGTGGAAAGAGGGACAGGCCACTCAGAATGAACATAAGGAAGTCGTTAGGATGTGTAGAGGTGAAATCAGAAAGGCAAAAGCCCAGCTTGAATTTAACCTAGCCGCTGGGGTGAAAAGGAATAAGAAACTCTTTTATAAATACATTAACAGTAAGAGGAGGACAAAGGAGAATATCCACTCTTTGCTGGATGAGGCTGGGAATGTGACCACTGAGCATAAGGAAAAGGCAGAAGTTCTGAATGCCTTCTTTACGTCTGTCTTTAAAAGTCAGACCAGTTATCCTCAGGATACTCCTCTCTCTGACCTGGTAATCTTGGCTGGGGACCACACTAACCCCCCTGTGATTCTGGAAGAAACAGTCAGAGATCTACTACTCCAACTGGACTGTCACAAGTCGATGGGGCCAGATGAGATCCACCCGAGAGTGCTGAGGGAACTGGCGGAGGTGATAGCCGAGCTGCTTTCCATCATCTGTCAGTGCTCCTTGTTGACTGGTGAGGTCCCAGAAGACTGGAAGCTTGCCAATGTGACTCCCATTTATAAGAAAGGTCGTAAGGAGGATCCGGGGAACTACAGGCCTGTCAGCCTGACCTCGGTGCCAGAGAAGGTTATGGAGCAGATTGTCTTGAGGGAGATCATGCGGCATGTGTGGGATGACCGGGGGATCAGGCCTAGCCAGCATGGGTTCATGAAGGGCAGGTCCTGTTTGACCAACCTCATCTCCTTCTATGATCTAGTGACCCATCTGGTGGATGAAGGAAAGGCTGTTGATGTGGTCTACTTAGACTTCAGCAAAGCCTTTGACACTGTCTCCCACAGCATTCTCCTGCAGAAGCTGGCAGCCCGAGGATTGGATGGGTACACTCTTGGCTGGGTGAGGAGCTGGCTGGAGGGCCGGGCACAGAGAGTGGTGGTGAATGGAGTCAAATCCACCTGGCGACCGGTCGTGAGTGGTGTTCCCCAGGGGTCGGTGCTGGGGCCTGTCCTCTTCAATATCTTTATTGATGACCTGGATGAGGGCATCGAGTGCACCCTCAGTAAATTTGCAGATGACACCAAATTGGCTGGAAGTGTGGATCTGCCTGGGGGTAGCGAGGCCATACAGAGGGATCTGGACAGGCTGGAGAGCTGGGCTGGAGCCAATGGGATGAGTTTCAACAAGGCCAAATGCCGGGTCCTGCACTTCGGCCACAACAACCCCAGGCGACGCTACAGGCTTGGGGCAGTGTGGCTGCAGGACGGCGTAGAGGAAATGGACCTGGGGTATTGATTGATGCTCGGCTGAACATGAGCCGACAGTGTGCCCAGGTGGCCAAGAAGGCCAATGGCATCCTGGCTTGCATCAGAAACAGCGTTGCAAGCAGGAGCAGAGAGGTGATTGTTCCCCTATACTCAGCACTAGTGAGGCCGCACCTCGAGTACTGTGTCCAGTTTTGGGCCCCTCACTGCAAGAAAGACATCGAGGCCCTGGAACGTGTTCAAAGGAGGGCAACAAAGCTGGTGAGGGGTCTGGAACACAGGCCATATGAGGAGAGGCTGAAGGAGCTGGGAATGTTCAGCCTGGAGAAGAGGAGGCTCAGGGGAGACCTCATTGCTCTCTATAACTTCCTGAAGGGAGGTTGTAGTGAGCTGGGGGTCGGCCTCTTCTCTCGTGTCATTAGTGATAGGACCAGGGGGAATGGTTTCAAGCTACGGCAGGGGAGATTCAGGCTGGACATGAGGAAGTATTACTTTTCAGAAAGGGTGGTCAGGCACTGGAATGGACTGCCCAGGGAGGTGGTGGAGTCACCGAGCCTGGGGGTGTTCAGGGAAAGACTGGATGTTGTGTTGAGGGACATGGTTTAGTGGGAGCTATTGGGAATAGGTGAACGGTTGGACTGGATGATCTTTTAGGTCTTTTCCAACCTTAGTGATTCTATGAAAACCATGAACAAACCAAATATGTGCTCAATTATTGCCAAAGCTAGCATCTCTGAAATTCTAAAATGTGCTCTTCAGACACTACATCTGTTACCCAGGAGTGGGTTAAATATT